TGGTGCTCTGGCGTGGTGTATTGTGTTCTGGCGTCGTGTATGGTGTTCTGGCGTCGTGTATGGTGTTCTGGCGTCGTGTATGGTGTTCTGGCGTCGTGTATGGTGTTCTGGCGTCGTGTATGGTGTTCTGGCGTCGTGTATGGTGTTCTGGCGTCGTGTATGGTGTTCTGGCGTCGTGTATGGTGTTCTGGCGTGGTGTATGGTGTTCTGGCGTGGTGTATGGTGTTCTGGCGTGGTGTATGGTGTTCCTACCTGGTGCAAGGGGTTTTGGTGTGGTGTATGGTGTTCTAGCGTGGTGTATGGTGTTTTAGCGTGGTGTATGGTGTTCTGGCGTGGTGTACGGTGTTCTAGCGTGGTGTATGGTGTTCTGGCGTGGTGTATGGTGTTCTGGCGTGGTGTATGGTGTTCTAGCGTGGTGTATGGTGTTCTAACGTGGTGTATGGTGTTCTGGCGTGGTGTACGGTGTTCTGGCGTGGTGTATGGTGTTCTGGCGTGGTGTATGGTGTTCTAGCGTGGTGTATGGTGTTCTAGCGTGGTGTATGGTGTTCTGGCGTGGTGTTTGGTGTTCTAGCGTGGTGTATGGTGTTCTAGCGTGGTGTATGGTGTTCTAGCGTGGTGTATGGTGTTCTGGCGTGGTGTTTATAGTGTTCTAGCGTGGTGTATGGTGTTTTAGCGTGGTGTATGGTGTTCTAGCATGGTGTATGGTGTTCTGGCGTGGTGTACGGTGTTCTAGCGTGGTGTATGGTGTTCTGGCGTGGTGTTTGGTGTTCTAGCGTGGTGTATGGTGTTCTAGCGTGGTGTATGGTGTTCTAGTATGGTGTATGGTGTTCTAGCGTGGTGTATGATGTTCTAGCGTGGTGTATGGTGTTCTAGCGTGGTGTATGGTGTTCTGGCGTGGTGTATGGTGTTCTGGCATGGTGTATGGTGTTCTAGCGTGGTGTATGGTGTTCTAGCGTGGTGTATGGTGTTCTAGCGTGGTGTATGGTGTTCTAGCGTGGTGTATGGTGTTTTAGAGTGGTGTATGGTGTTCTAGCGTGGTGTATGGTGTTCTGGCGTGGTGTACGGTGTTCTAGTGTGGTGTATGGTGTTCTAGCGTGGTGTATGGTGTTCTAGCGTGGTATATGGTGTTTCTACCTGGTACATGGTGTTCTAGCGTGGTGTATGGTGTTTCTACCTGGTTTATGGTGTTCTAGCGTGGTGTATGGTGTTCTAGCGTGGTGTATGGTGTTTCTACCTGGTAAATGGTGTTCTAGCGTGGTGTATGGTGTTCTGGCGTGGTGTACGGTGTTCTAGCGTGGTGTATGGTGTTCTAGCGTGGTGTATGGTGTTCTAGCGTGGTGTATGGTGTTCTTACGTGGTGTCTGGTGTTCTGGCGTGGTGTATAGTGTTCTGGCGTGGTGTATGGTGTTCTGGCGTGGTGTACGGTGTTCTAGTGTGGTGTATGGTGTTCTAGCGTGGTGTATGGTGTTCTAGCGTGGTGTATAGTGTTCTTACGTGGTGTCTGGTGTTCTGGCGTGGTGTATAGTGTTCTGGCGTGGTGTACGGTGTTCTAGTGTGGTGTATGGTGTTCTAGCGTGGTGTATGGTGTTCTAGCGTGGTGTATGGTGTTCTTACGTGGTGTCTGGTGTTCTGGCGTGGTGTATAGTGTTCTGGCGTGGTGTATGGTGTTCTGGCGTGGTGTACGGTGTTCTATTGTGGTGTATGGTGTTCTAGCGTGGTGTATGGTGTTCTAGCGTGGTGTATGGTGTTCTTACGTGGTGTCTGGTGTTCTGGCGTGGTGTATAGTGTTCTAGCGTGGTGTATGGTGTTCTAGCGTGGTGTATGGTGTTCTTGCGTCGTGTATGGTGTTCTTACGTGGTGTATGGTGTTCTGGCGTGGTGTATAGTGTTCTGGCGTGGTGTTTGGTGTTCTGGCGTGGTGTATAGTGTTCTGGCGTGGTGTATGGTGTTCTGGCGTGGTGTATAGTGTTCTGGCGTGGTGTATGGTGTTCTGGCGTGGTGTATGGCGTGGTGTATGGTGTTCTAGCGTGGTGTATTGTGTTCTAGCGTGGTGTATGGTGTTCTTGCGTCGTGTATGGTGTTCTTACGTGGTGTATGGTGTTCTGGCGTGGTGTATAGTGTTCTGGCGTGGTGTATGGTGTTCTGGCGTGGTGTATAGTGTTCTGGCGTGGTGTATGGTGTTCTGGCGTGGTGTATGGCGTGGTGTATGGTGTTCTAGCGTGGTGTATGGTGTTCTGGCTTCGTGTATGGTGTTCTGGCGTCGTGTATGGTGTTCTGGCGTCGTGTATGGTGTTCTGGCGTCGTGTATGGTGTTCCTGCCTGTGTATTGTGTTCTGGCGTGGTGTATGGTGCACTAGCATAGTGTATGGTATTCTGGCGTGGTGTATGGTGCACTAGCATAGTGTATGGTATTCTGGCGTGGTGTATGGTGCACTAGCATAGTGTATGGTATTCTGGCGTGGTGTATGGTGCACTAGCATAGTGTATGGTATTCTGGCGTGGTGGATGGTGTTCTAGCGTGGTGTATGGTGTTCTTACGTGGTGTATGGTGTTCTGGCGTGGTGTATGGTGCACTAGCATAGTGTATGGTATTCTGGCGTGGTGTATGGTGCACTAGCATAGTGTATGGTATTCTGGCGTGGTGTATGGTGTTCTAGCGTGGTGTATGGTGTTCTAGCGTGGTGGATGGTGTTCTGGCGTGGTGTATGGTGTTCTGGCGTGGTGTATGGTGTTCTTACGTGGTGTATGGTCTTCTGGCGTGGTGTATGGTGTTCTGGCGTGGTGTATGGTGTTCTTACGTGGTGTATGGTGTACTGACGTGGTGTATGGTGTTCTGGCGTGGTGTATGGTGTTCTGGCGTGGTGTATGGTGTTCTAGCGTGGTGTATGGTGTTCTAGCGTGGTGTATGGTGTTCTTACGTGGTGTATGGTGTTCTGGCGTGGTGTATGGTGTTCTGGCGTGGTGTATGGTGTTCTAGCGTGGTGTATGGTGTTCTAGCGTGGTGTATGGTGTTCTAGCGTGGTGTATGGTGTTCTATCGTGGTGTATGGTGTTCTTACGTGGTGTATGGTGTTCTGGCGTGGTGTATGGTGTTCTGGCGTGGTGTATGGTGTTCTGGCGTGGTGTATGGTGTTCTAGCGTGGTGTATGGTGTTCTAGCGTGGTGTATGGTGTTCTAGCGTGGTGTATGGTGTTCTTACGTGGTGTATGGTGTTCTGGCGTGGTGTATGGTGTTCTGGCGTGGTGTATGGTGTTCTAGCGTGGTGTATGGTGTTCTAGCGTGGTGTATGGTGTTCTGGCGTGGTGTATGGTGTTCTGGCGTGGTGTATGGTGTTCTGGCGTGGTGTATGGTGTTCTAGCGTGGTGTATGGTGTTCTGGCGTGGTGTATGATGTTCCTGCCTGGTGCATGGGGTCTGGTGGGGTGTATGGTATTCTAGCGTGGTGTATGGTGTTCTAGCGTGGTGTATGGTGTTCTTACGTGGTGTATGGTGTTCTGGCGTGGTGTATGGTGTTCTGGCGTGGTGTATGGTGTTCTAGCGTGGTGTATGGTGTTCTAGCGTGGTGTATGGTGTTCTGGCGTGGTGTATGGTGTTCTGGCGTGGTGTATGGTGTTCTGGCGTGGTGTATGGTATTCTAGCGTGGTGTATGGTGTTCTGGCGTGGTGTATGGTGTTCTGGCGTGGTGTATGGTGTTCTGGCGTGGTGTATGGTGTTCTGGCGTGGTGTATGGTGTTCTAGCGTGGTGTATGGTGTTCTAGCGTGGTGTATGGTGTTCTAGCGTGGTGTATGGTGTTCTAGCGTGGTGTATGGTGTTCTAGCGTGGTGTATGGTGTTCTAGCGTGGTGTATGGTGTTCTAGCGTGGTGTATCGTGTTCTAGCGTGGTGTATCGTGTTCTAGCGTGGTGTATGGTGTTCTAGGGCCAAATTTACGAAGCAGTTACGCAAGCACTTACGAACGTGTACATCTTTTCTCAATCTCTGACGGCTTTGGTTAAGTTTATTAAACAGTTTACATGTATGAAAACTTGCCAATCAACTGTTGTTATTGTTATAAACAGCCTCCTGGTGCTTCGGAGCTCATTGACTGTATAATAATTGTAAACAAAGCCGCCAAAGATTGAGAATAGATGTACAGGTTCGTAAGTACTTGCGTAACTGCTTCGTGAATCTGTCCCCTGGTCGAGTCATCTTGTTAGGTCCCTCAGTCATCATATCATCATCTTAAGACTCCACAATGTCATCATGTTACAGTAATCAATCCCTATATCAACATATTAGCTTAGATCTCTATGCCTTTCTTTAAATTTATATATATTTTTTATGCCTATTTCTCCGTGGAGTGGCTTCTAGTTTTCAGTAATATTTTAGGTGTCTTTGTATATATAATTCTCAGTTCATTGAGCATAATTTTACAGTTTAAGTGATTTTAATAAGAGTTTCAATTCCCCTGTCTCTTAGATATGGGATCTAGTTCCTTCTTACAAGTAGTTCGAATACTTAGACAGTAGTTTCTTGATTCCAGCTGATGATTCCCTGATCTAACGACTTGGGCGGGACGGTAGAGCGACGGTCTCGCTTCATGCAGGTCGGCGTTCAATCCCCGACCGTCCAAGTGGTTGGTCACCATTCCTTTCCCCCGTCCCATCCCAAATTCTTATCTTAATCCCTTTCCAGTGCCATGTTTCTGCTTAAGAGGTCCTATACAATGCCATGTACACAACCTTCCACATGTCTGCTCCTGCTTCAGAGGTCCTATACAATATCTGCTTCAGAGGTCCTATACAATATCTGCTTCAGAGGTCCTATACAATATCTGCTTCAGAGGTCCTATACAATATCTGCTTAAGAGGTCCTATACAATATCAACAAAAGCCTTAATAAATCTTCAATGATGTATTGAATATGATTCAGACCTTTGTTAGTGTTGATTAATGTATTGTCTTACAGAACGTCGTTATTGCTGTGTTGTAAGGAGTGGTTAATGAGACTGTTGGTGTTGGCAGCTGGTGATGGACGTGAGGGAGTTCGTGGGGGGAGACCTGACGGTGCGGACGGCTGGGGGAACGCTGTCTGTCCGCGGACGGCTGGAGACGGGAGGGGACGGGGACGGCCAGTCCAGCTCCTCGAAGGCGTCGTCCGCCAGGACTCTTCACCGGAGGTTCAACCTTCCACCGGACGCTGATGGAGAGAAGGTGGAGTCCACTCTATCCCGTGACGCTGTCCTAACCGTCACTATCCCTAAGAGGGTGAGTCCACTCTATCCCGTGACGCTGTCCTAACCGTCACTATCCCTAAGAGGGTGAGTCCACACTATCCCCGAGAGGGTGAGAGGCAGACAGAAACACATAAAAAAAACACAGATATATATATTTATATATATAATATATATATATATATATATATATATATATATATATATATATATATATATATATATATATATATATATATATATATATATATATATATATGTATAATATATATATATATATATATATATATATATATATATATATATATATATATATATATATATATGTGTGTGTATATTTTAGTAGCAGTCTTTCCTGTAGACATATATTATTAAATATGACCGAAAAAGTAAGATTAATAATTCTAACACGAATTTTCTCAATATTTCTTATGTTCTTTTCACTGTTGATGGTAATTGAAAAATCAATTCTCCAAAATTCATTTTTATTTCTAGTCTGACGCGACACGCGACACTTGTACCCCCTATTAGACTATTTTACAGGAACTTCTTTTCCACAGCTCATAAAATGGAGGAAAGGGTCCTGAAAGATATTGTTAATAGAAACGTTATCCCTACAGACAAAAATCAGAAGATACAACTCACGATTTACTATAAAACCAAGAAAACGGCCAGCCTACTCATGAGAAACTCTCCAGACACAAAGCAGAACGCTTTAAAAGAGACCAATGTCGTCTATGCCTTCAAATGGGGACTGTAAGCCTCAAAGAATTTAGTATATAGGCAAGACAACAACATCTCTTTCCAGGCGATTAACGATGCATAAGCAACAGGGCTCCATTAAGGAACATATAATCTCTTCCCACAACCAGACCATCACCAGAGAAGTCTTAACAAAAAACACGGAAATCATCGATACAGCGATAGCAGGCGGCTTGATATCTGCGAGGCACTACACATTAAGAAGTCGACACCAGCAATCAACAGCCAATTAATGCACAACTATATTCTACCCACTTCAAGACTCCGCACCAATATAGAAGCATCAAGAAATATGGGCCAATAGGCCCTTTGCAGTTACTTCCATTCTTCCCTTTAACTTACAAAATATTATACCCATTGTTTCGTGTTCTGTCTTGTGTTGAAAGTTTGTTTTCACCTCATCCAAAACTGTTGTAACATATCACCTCACCCAAATGCAGGTATAAAATCAAAGCTGTTTAAACTCTGTTTAGCGTTTGCAACGTTATAGTTGTGTGTGTGTGTGTAAACTAAAGTCTTTGAAAATGTAATAAGTTTTACGAAACGCGTTCAAGTGTCGCGTCAGACTAGAAATAAAAATGAATTTTGGAGAATTAATTTTTGAATTACTTCCAACAGTGAAAAGAAATGTACGAAAGAAAATTCGTGTTAGAATTATATAATATATATATATATATATATATATATATATATATATATATATATATATATATTGTGCACACATGGAGACAAATGTGTATCAATGATCCTACTCGAATCACCCTCTAATTGCTCAATCAAAAATGGATCTAAATAATATAAACCATTGCTAATGTTCAAATGACATGGTTTTGTAATCTGTATTAAAGTAGATTCAATTATGTTCCTAGTGAAAGTGCTTTTACAATTCGTTATTGAAGAAGCCATCTCCCAATCAATTTGGTGAGCATCTTCTGACAGATGAACAAAGCATTAGACAATTGGCCATGTCTTACAGAGTATTTATGTTGCGAAATTCTACATTTCAAATCTTTAGATGTTTGCCCAACATAGAACTTATTACAGTCTTTACAAGGTATTTTATAAATGACAATTATCACTACGGGAGCCGGTCGGCCGAGCGGACAGCACGCTGGATTTGTGATCCTGTGGTGCTAGGTTCGTTCCCAGGCGCCGGCGAGAAAATATGGGCAGAGTTTCTTTCACCCTATACCCCTGTTACCTAACAGTAAAATAGGTACCTGGGTGTTAGTCAGCTGTCACGGGCTGCTTCTTGGGGGTGGAGGCCTGGTCAAGGACCGGGCCGCGGGGACACTAAAGCCCCGAAATCATCTCAAGATAACCTCAAGATAATGAGGGGCTGTTTCTAACTAATAGTTTACCAATATTATTTTCCTAATTAAACAAGACATGAATATCAATTTTTTTTTAATTTTTTGAAAATTTAAAGATTATCTAATGCTTTGTTTGTTCATCTATCAGAAGATGCTCACCAAATTGATTGGGAGATGGCTTCTTAAATAACGAATTGTAAAATCAGTTTCAATAGGAACATAATTGAATCTACTTTAATACAGATTACAAAACCATGTCATTTGAACATTAGCAGTGGCTTATATTATTTAGATCCATTTTTGATTGAGCAGTTAGAGGGCCTCGTTGATACCTGGTTGATGGGGTTCTGGGAGTTGTTCTACTCCCCAAGCCCGGCCCGAGGCCAGGCTTGACTTGTGAGAGTTTGGTCCACCAGGCTGTTGCTTGGAGCGGCCCGCAGGCCCACATACCCACCACAGCCTGGTTGGTCCGGCACTCCTTGGAGGAATAAATCTAGTTTCCTCTTGAAAATGTCCACGGTTGTTCCGGCAATATTTCTTATGCTCGCTGGGAGGACGTTGAACAACCGCGGACCTCTGATGTTTATACAGTGTTCTCTGATTGTGCCTATGGCACCTCTGCTCTTCACTGGTTCTATTCTGCATTTTCTTCCATGTCGTTCACTCCAGTACGTTGTTATTTTACTGTGTAGATTTGGTACTTGGCCCTCCAGTATCTTCCAGGTGTATATTATTTGATATCTCTCTCGTCTTCTTTCTAGTGAGTACATTTGGAGGGCTTTGAGACGATCCCAATAATTTAGGTGCTTTATTGCATCTATGCGTGCCGTATATGTTCTCTGTATTCCCTCTATTTCAGCAATCTCTCCTGCTCTGAAGGGGGAAGTGAGTACTGAACAGTACTCAAGACGGGACAACAGAAGTGACTTGAAGAGTACAACCATTGTGATGGGATCCCTGGATTTGAAAGTTCTCGTAATCCATCCTATCATTTTTCTGGCTGTCGCAATATTTGCTTGGTTATGCTCCTTAAACGTTAGGTCGTCAGACATTATTATTCCCAAATCCTTTACATGCTGTTTTCCTACTATGGGTACATTCGATTGTGTTTTGTACTCTGTATTATGTTTAAGGTCCTCATTTTTACCGTACCTGAGTACCTGGAATTTATCACTGTTAAACAGGGCGATTTGAGTAGGATCATTGGTACACATATGCTATTATTATTGGCCCATTATCCTATATCCTATTGACTCATACATGGGTAATAATAGGGGCGTATTGACCCATATGATGCACCTCTTATTTTGTATCCACCTAATCCCATTCATATATTTGTCATTGTACCTCACTTCACCTCTCTCTCTCTCTCTCTCTCTCTCTCTCTCTCTCTCTCTCTCTCTCTCTCTCTCTCTCTCTCTCTCTCCTCCCAATATATGTCCAAACTAATTGACTTGTAAATCATTCTTTCTGAAGATGTATTAATATTCGAAAGTACTTAAGAAAATTCCTGTTTCAATTCTTCCTCCGTGATCTGACACTGTCACATTTTTCATCACGTGTTAATTTTCGGGATTTACACCCACACATATATATATATATATATATATATATATATATATATATATATATATATATATATATATATATATATATATATATATATATATATTAGTATATTTTGGTAGCAGTCTTTCCTGTAGACATATATTATTAAATATGACCGAAAAAGTAAGATTAATAATTCTAACACGAATTTTCTCAATCTTTCGTACATTACGCTTCACTGTTGGAGGTAAATCAAAAATCACTTCTCCAAAATTCATTTTTATTTCTAGTCTGACGCGACACGGGCGCGTTTCGTAAAACTTATTACATTTTCAAAGACTTCACAAATACACAACTGATTAGAACTAACGTATCTCTGCTATTATATCTACATTTGAGTGAGGTGGGAGGGATGATGTGGCATATAATGATGTGGCATTAGGGGATATTAATAGGGTATTAAAAGTATCAACACAAGACAGAACAGAAACAATGGGTATTGAATAGAAGTGTTTGTAGAAAGCCTATTGGTCCATATTTCTTGATGCTTCTATATTGGAGCGGAGTCTTGAGGTGGGTAGAATATAGTTGTGCAATAATTGGCTGTTGATTGCTGGTGTTGACTTCTTGATGTGTAGTGCCTCGCAAACGTCAAGCCGCCTGCTATCGCTGTATCTATCGATGATTTCTGTGTTGTTTACTAGGATTTCTCTGGCGATGGTTTGGTTATGGGAAGAGATTATATGTTCCTTAATGGAGCCCTGTTGCTTATGCATCGTTAAACGCCTAGAAAGAGATGTTGTTGTCTTGCCTATATACTGGGTTTTTTGGAGCTTACAGTCCCCAAGTGGGCATTTGAAGGCATAGACGACGTTAGTCTCTTTTAAAGCGTTCTGTTTTGTGTCTGGAGAGTTTCTCATGAGTAGGCTGGCCGTTTTTCTGGTTTTATAGTAAATCGTCAGTTGTATCCTCTGATTTTTGTCTGTAGGGATAACGTTTCTATTAACAATATCTTTCAGGACCCTTTCCTCCGTTTTATGAGCTGTGGAAAAGAAGTTCCTGTAAAATAGTCTAATAGGGGGTATAGGTGTTGTGTTAGTTGTCTCTTCAGAGGTTGCATGGCTTTTCACTTTCCTTCTTATGATGTCTTCGATGAAACCATTGGAGAAGCCGTTATTGACTAGAACCTGCCTTACCCTACAGAGTTCTTCGTCGACTTGCTTCCATTCTGAGCTGTGGCTGAGAGCACGGTCGACGTATGCGTTAACAACACTCCTCTTGTACCTGTCAGGGCAGTCGCTGTTGGCATTTAGGCACATTCCTATGTTTGTTTCCTTAGTGTAGACTGCAGTGTGGAAACCTCCGCCCTTTTCCATGACTGTTACATCTAGAAAAGGCAGCTTCCCATCCT